ATGGTGATGGTGATGGGTGCCTGTGACCTCAGGTCTGGAGAGGCCCAAGCTGGAGTAATCGATTATAGGTTCAAGGCCAGCCTAAGTTACATAGTGATTCTATTCAGAAGGCGGTGGAGGTTGCCATGAGATGGCTCATCAGGTAAGGGTGCTTACTGCCTGACCACGCAAACCTGACCATTTCAAGTCACTCCTCAGAACCCCAGTAAAGGCAGAAGACAGAAGTGATTGCACAAAATTGTCCTCTGACCTCCACATGCATCCCACCCCCCACTAATAATAATATTTATACAATTATTTATTACAATTGTCACATTATAAATATTTGTTACAGTTATTTATATAAATAATGGTGTAACTACATATCTAAATAATAATAGTGTAACAATAACTATTTTAAAGGAGTATGCATTAGCAGGGTTGGTGGCGTCACTAAGGAAACACAGTTTTACAGTGTCACCTAGGACACTTTGAAGCCAGTCATAAGTATTCCAAACACAGCTGCTTCAAAACACAGTTATGAAAGACGCATGAATGCAAAACGGAATCTCTTTTTTTTAAATTCATATTTTTAAAATTTAAATTGGAAACAATCTTATTTTATAAATCAGTCCCCGTTCCATCTCCCTCCCATCCTCCCGTGCCCCCCGCCAAGCCCCCCATCCCATCCCTCTTCTGGTCCATAGAAAGGGCGAGGCCTTCCATGGGGATCATCAAAGTCTGTCACATCCTTTGGGGCAGGGCCTAGGCCCTCCCCCGTGTGTCTAGACTGAAAGTGGAGTCTCTTGCACCAACCTAACCCTGGGTTAGCTTTTTGAGGATGCTCCAGGCCGGTTTCCTCCTGGGGTTCACACTATTGTCCTACTTTGTATCCCTACTAGGGATACACACAAGGCTTTGATTTACTGACATCTCCACCAACAGTTGTTATTCACGGCATGAGAAATATAACCAATATAATCAGTGTCTGGGTCGCATATCACACCTGAATCCTGCAAGGGTTCGACTACATGGCAGAGTCCTACACAATTGCCTCGGACAGCTGTTGCCAGCTCAACAGATGTTTGGGTGGAGAGAAACTCCTGTGGCTGCCGCCATTGCCATTATGTATGACATCACTCATTTTTCCTGTCTGTCACCTTTTGTGACGTCACTCCCTTTCTCTGTCTGTGATCCTCCCTGTCCCAGCTTGCAGAACCTACCTAGGCCTCCATCACTGCCTCGGAATCTGAGATCAATATATTCATGCCTCTGGTTGGCCTCTGAGTCACCTCAAGTGTCACCTTCTCCGAGCTCCTCAGTCAGACTGCACTTCCCGCTCTTCGTCCTCCTTCCAAAATCCACGGGAGTCTCCCATTGCTGTAACCAACTCAGCTGGTCCTGTCCTGTTAGTTCATACCTTCCTAAATGGCTTCGCTTTCACAGTGACTAGGTTGGGCAGAGGGGCTATCTGAGATCTAGCCACTTGTCTTTAGCAGGAACAGCAGTTTTTCGTTTTTTGTTTTGTTTTGCTTTTTGTTATTTGTTTTTTTTTTTTTTTTTGACAGTCTCGTGTGTGGCAGCTGTTACCTCGGACTGACATTTTGTCCTTGTGTACACTGACTCTGGCAGTCAGAAGGGTGCATTTTTTTCCACCATCGTGGCCAAGTCATTGCAAGAGGGTTATCTATGGGAAGCTGTATCAAGTTGGGGGTACTTGGGCTCCAAGGCGTATTACAGGAGGAAACGCTGGTTCTCAACACAGAATTCTGCAGCAGTCTGCTTCTGGGTTCTTTTCTCCAAGAAAAGATCTTGAACCAAGTGTGTGACTGTCATGTCCCATGGATGTAGGGGGCGGGGCGGGGTGGGGCATAGGGGAGCCTGAGCCTTCTGAGTCTAGGAGTGTCTGAGTCCCTCCTCCATCTCATTGCAAATGGCTGCCAATCACTCTCACAGACCCAGGGAAGGCATCTCCTTCTGTCCTGTAGTGTTTTAATATTGTGCTTCTGCTCAGCTTATGATCTCAGCTGCTGTCAAAGGACCTACAGCAAAATCCGCTTTTATTGAGGCAGAAAAGGTCAGCTTTCTTGGACGTCTCCATGGTGAGGATAATAAATGCAACACATTCGTACCCTGACGACATTTAGGCCCTTCAGCTGCGATGACCCTTGGGAAACGGCACTGGAGATTCTAATTACATTTCTGCAGGAGAGACTGGCTAGTGGGCTATTTCCTTCCTGTGTCAGGGAGTTCACCCCCACTATGTGGCATCTGTTTTAGCCTGAATGAGCTCTCAATGTACCATCTGGCTCAGGGGAGTGTGGCATCCATTTGGTCTGAAATGTGCCCCCAAAGCAGTGTGGCTTCTGCTATTGGAGACCTGTCCCGTCCTTAATCTGGATTTGCAGGAGAGGCCTCTCTTTTCTGTCCCATCTCACCTGCAGCAGAGCGACCCCCTGTCTGACACACTACCTGCGGCAAATAAATAGACTTGGATTTCCTAATGACAGGCCTGGAACGAATTTCTGCAGTGAGCAGAGATCAAGAAAGAGAGGAGGTTGCTGAAAGGGAAAGGAGAGGCCATGCCAAGACAAACAGGCCCACAGAGATGCAGGAAGGAACCCAAAGCCAGACTGCATTAACACCTTCGCAGCTACTCTTTGTCGTTAGACTGAGAGGTTTGACTTTTTCATCGGCCAACTCTCAATATTCGTGGGTTGTCTTAGCCGAGACCTGGTGGTTGTTTCCTCCTCCTCTTCCTCCCACGGACAGTGTCTTTCAGGATCTTTATGCAGGCCACACTGGCCACAAATTTGCTCTCCTCCCACCCCAGCTTCCTAGTGCTGGGATTACAAGCATAACCCACAGTGCCCTGAAGTCTTGGTAATTTACAAAGAATAGAAGCCAGTTTGGCTTATGGTTCTGGAGCTGCAGACGGTCCAAGACCCCTGTGTTGGCACGTGCTTGTCCTAGTCAGAGTCTGTATCTTAACATTGCATTGGCTATCACATGGTAAGATAGAGGTCTCAAGGTAGCTCTGATCTCCTGTGTGTGTGTGTGTGTGTGTGTGTGTGCGTGCGTGTGTATAAGCATGAGCACATGTATGGGCTTATATGTGGAGGAGAGAGATCAAGGTCAGGTGTCTTCCTCTTGACAGAGTCTCTCACAGAAGCAGGAGCTTGCCAATTCAGCAGGACTGGCTAGCCAGCCAGCTTCAGCTTTCCTTTGCATCCACCCACCCCCAACTGCAGGTTCATACCACCACCCCGGACCTTTTACACGGATGCTGGGGATTCGAACTCAGGTCCTCATTATTTTCTTTTTTAAGATTTTATTTATTTATTTATTATGTATACAACATTCTGTTTCCATGTATATCTGCACACCAGAAGAGGGCACCAGATCTCATTCAAGGTGGTTGTGGCCACCATGTGGGTGCTGGGAATTGAACTCAGGACCTCTGGGAGAGCAGTCGGCGCTCTTAACCTCTGAGCCATCTCTCCAGCCCCAGGTGCTCACTCTAGTGCAGCAAACACATTACCAACTGAGCCATCCTTCCTGCCCCTTGTCCACTTTTACAAAGCCACTAATACCATGATGTGAGCCCCACCCTCGTGACCTCTTCTAATTATCTCCCCAATGGCTCCTCTTCTAAACAACTTTAGCTTGATATTTGGGGTTAAGTTTCTAACACATGAATCTGGGACACAGTCAAACCCTAGAAATGTTTGCGCTGTGGCAGCCTACAGATGCCGATCTATCTTCAATTCAGTGAGGTTTTCTTCTCTAATTTATTTATTTATTTTGGCTTTTCAAGAGATGGTTTCTCTGTTTAACTTTGGAGCCTGTCCTGGCACTCACTCTGTAAACCAGGCTGGCCTCAAACTCACAGAGATCCGCCTGCCTCTACCTCCCCAGTGCTGGGATTAAAGGTGTGAACCGCCACCACCTCCTGGCCACTTCGCTTTATTTTTGATGTTTACCTTTCTGTTACGTTATTTTTTATGAAAACTCTCTAACTTGCTTGGGTTTCCAGTGTTTTTTCCTTGTCTTCTCTTTACTTTTCACGTTTCTCATCGTTTTGGAGATTCTGAAATTTCGGTGTCCACAGGGCTTCTCTGTATACTCAAAATCAGTGGTACCCTTTAAATTATGCTGTTTGGGATCAAGTATAACTCAGATGTGCAGCACTTGCCTAGAATTCCCCAGGATGGGTAGGGTGGAGGGAGGTGTGTCTCAATGTTACAGCCCCTGCCTAGAATCCCCCAGTGAGGGGCTGGGGGCGTGGCTCAGTG